CCGAAACATGTGACTATCTTGGGCGAGTTCTCCCACTATAGTAAGCTTGCTACGTCTACAGATGGCAGGAACTTGCACTCCCTCGCACCTGAAACGAATAGAGCCAGCATAGATGAAGAAAATGCCCTCGTAACATGCAAGAATCTGCTAAAGACGTTGCGCAATACCGGTTATAGTCTAAATGCAGCACTGTCATATCCCATCATGGACCAAAGAGTCATGACTCTGTACAAGGAGAGTTCCCAACACATATATAACATCCACAAGGTTAGCAGTAACCTCCCAATTCTCCTAATCCTTGGCAAGCCAGATTCTGACGCATGTTAGTCAGCTTCTACAGCTCAGGTGACACTAAAAGCTCTTCAAATGGCCCATAAATCAGCGTCATCCTCCAACGACTTTCAATCCTCCCTCTATGGACTGTCCACCCCTTACATACGCTCCCAACTATCTCGCTTTGTGATCGCATCACTCGAGAAATGGGCTGCTGCATCAAATCTCGACTTTTTCCTCGACGACCCACACTCCTCTGCTCTCGACCCACCCATACCATTTCCCTCTTCGTCTGGGAATACGACCAGTGCCACAAGCAGTCTTATCCCTGGACAGACCAAAAAGATCGTTACATCCCTCACTAAAGAGCAACTACTCGTCGATCTGGAATTTGAAAAGCACATCTTTGCGGACGACCCGCGAATCGATCTGATGAACAACAAAAATATCATCCCCATTACTTTACACCAGGTCAAGATCAACTTTGGAGAAAAGGAAGAGCAATCTGGCTCTTCTGGTCATCCAGAGGGTAGTCTGTGCTTGCTTTTGGAAGAAAGGACGAGGAATTTCCTAAGGGACCTTGGTTGTGCGCCGAATGTAGACTGGAGTCAAGTTGACCCAGTCAAAGTGGAAAGGTCTGCTGCAGAACTGAGAAACGTTCTGGAAGAAATAAATTGGATCGTTGACACCGCCAAGAGGGAGGCGGAGGTGAACAGCGCCAAAGAGTCTGAGACGTGGGATTGTATACAAACAATCGCCGATAAGGCGTCCAAGGTTCTACAAATTGAAGCTAAACTTGTGGAAACGTAAGTACATTCCAATCCCCTTACTAATTTTCGGGCTCACGGTGCTCTAGCGACAACAACTTGGAACCCGTAGCCATCGATACTCTTGCACTCCGATCTAGCGGTGTTCATTTCCCATTCCTACAATCTTTCTCACTCGGCTTCCTTCTCTATCTACCACCACTAGCCTATCTCACTCTTCTTCGCTCCTACTCTCAACAAGACTCAAAGGACACGACTGCGAGTTCAAATTATCCCAGTGACATTCCTATCGGCTGGACACGAAAACTGTTGATCGACGGACCTGCCCGAGAGCGCCTCCAAATCCCAATCGCCACTTTGGCATATGACCCTCATTCCAAACTTTCGACCTCCCATACGAACAATGCAATGGAAGTCGACGAGAGTGGGCAGCCAATCGCAAGAGAGCATATCGCCAGTCGACTAGAAGATGTTTCGGAATGGAATAGTGCTATAGCGTACACATTCCCGA